AAAAACAATACAACTTGTATAAAAACAAAAAACCCAGACAAAATCCAAGCCTGTTGCTTTCTCGAGTTGATTCCAACTCTTATAGACCAGAGCAGTACTGCCTCCCATACTAATTTCTAAGGCTGTGATCTTTAAGAAAGCAGACTGTCATAGTTTCCTCCTGAGGATCTACTGGTGGGATTGAACTCCTGGCTGGTGGACTTTTTAGTTAGCATCTAAGTGTTAAACTCCACCACCACTAGAGCTCTTTTTTTTTTTCTGTATAGAAAAGACAGAAATAGTTGGGGTGGAGATGGAAGGGACATCAAAGGTAGTGTTTTCATTTCATAACTCAAAGAAGTGAGGTCCAGAGAGAGGAGGAAATGGCCCAGAAGTCATAATAAGTGAATGACAGAATGGAAACAACCACCACCACAAACCAGATTTAGAGTGTAAAAATTAGCAAAATTTTAATAAAACTCAAAGACTACATCATGGACCAGGAGGACTCACTAAGAGGGAATGCATCAAATAACTGGTTTATGGGGCAACATTACAAAAATCATGGTGACCCTGAATTCCTGGGGCCTGATGATCCCAAGGACTCCATTTGGGGGCTTAAGGGGTGGTCAGAGGATGGGAGGTCTGACAGCCCTTTCCTCAATGTTTTTATCTGTTTACAAATGGGGCTGTGTTTGTGATTGGAGGAATGGTTTTGTTCCTGAAACACACTGGCCCAGGTGGGGAAAGGGCAGAGACCCTGCACACCCCTTTCTGAGGAGTCACTGTCCTCTCACTGCCCTCTAGCCTCTTCCGGAAATGCTGATTGATCCTTTTTAGCAGAACCTCTGATCCCCAAGAATCTCTGGCTTCTCCAAAGAGTGACTCAGGCTCGGGAGGCCAACCAAGGCTGGGGTGACCAAACGAGGTGAGGGCACGGGCCTGGCCAGGGAGGGCGTTTTCCCACACCACACACTGGTTTGGGGACTGAGGATGAAAAGACTTCAGGATCGCTCTAATCCTAGGACTGAACTTGAGAGCTTGCCTGTCCTACTCAGAAAGCCCTAAGCAAACACACCCTCCTTCCCCTGCTCCACACCCCTGTCAGCTGTTCATTCTCCTTGACAAGGTCTGGAACAGCTCTCAAGTGAGGAAGGGTCATGGAGGACAATAGCAAAAGCTGCAGGGGATGTGGGGACCAGGTTTCCGCTGAGGTTGCCAAGAGGAGTCACCCTGTCCAATCCCTTGCATTTGGCAGGCCCCAGATGGGTGGAAGGGAGCCTTTTCTCTTTCAGAAAAAGCAGCTCTTCTCTTGTCTCACTCTTGGGGGTAAAATTTTTCTTGCTTAAAAAGTTCTCTCTTATGCCTCCTTACAGTTTCTCATGCTACTACAGTTTGGGGATTTTGTGAACTTCTGGCAAGTCAGATTAATAATAAGGCCACAGGATATG